CTCGGGTGATTCTCCCAACGGGCTGATGCCGCCTGGCCCTCCCGCTTGGTTCAGCGAGTCCGCCGCGCTTTGGACGCGGCTCCGGCCAAACGACTCAAGCGCCGCGCGGGGCTGTACCTGCGGGGAGATGTGGGGAGATGTCGGGAGATGTGGGGAGATGTGGGGAGATGGAGCGCCGCGCGGGGCTGTGCCTGCGGGGAGATATGGGGAGATATGGGGAGATGTGGGGAGATGTGGGGAGATCGAGCGCCGCGCGGGGCTGTGCCTGCGGCGCTCCGCGAAGGCCAAACGTCGTGCAGGACACCCGCGCGGCGGACTACGGCCGTCTGCTGCTACGGCTGCTGTGCAAGACATGGCGCGTGTGCGCTTGTAGCCGGGCACTGCTCGGGCTGCACTGCTACGGTTTGCACGCTGCAGCCTAGACCTATGCTAGGCTGCTTCAGCGCGGCAGCCGGGCACTGCTCGGGCTGCACTGCTAGGGGTTGCACGCTGCAGCGGGGCACCGCTAGGCTTGCGCACTAGAGCCAGGCACCCACAGAAAGCAGCAAGGAGGCGCGCCTCGCTTGCGGGTGAGGTTGCGAGCCTACGGCGATGAGATGTGGGGAGATATGGGGAGATATGGGGAGATATGGGGAGATAGCGGTGGGGAGCACGCCTACGGTGATGAGATATGGGGAGATATGGGGAGGGGAGATATGGGGAGATATGGGGAGATATGGGGAGATGTTGCGAGCCTACGATGAGATGCGACGAGATTTCTCTCTCCCAGTGAGCACACAGATCCGATGAGGAGCACGGCAGAGCACTCCGAGCATATCGCGTGGAGACACAGGCTGCGAGACAGAGCTGCGCCAGACCTCGAGTGTGGCGAGTGCAGCCCGAATGCAGCTGAACACGCGTCCTCTCGAGTGTTGGTTGGAACGTGGGACCTCATCACTCTGCCAGGGTGTGTGGCAGCCCAGTTGGCTAGCTGTGCGTGTCTAGCCTGCGCGCCTGTGGTGTGTCGTGTCCCTCCATAGCGGGGCCGTCCCTCCGCCTCACTTGTGTCCCACTCGTACGGGTGTCGGTCTCTGGCAAGCGCTGTGCTGTTTCCGCCTCTCTACCTACACCTACCCTACCTTTCGATACAGGGGATGCGGTTCTGCCTCTCCGTCTTCTCGGTATCTAGGACTGCGAGCCGCCGCGGGACCGCGCAGCTTGCCGAGCAGCAGGCTGGCGCGCCTGCAGGAAGGCTCCGAGAAGGGTCCCGGAAGGTTCCTGGAAGGGTGCACGAGATCTGGCGCAGGCCGGGGAGGCCGACCGCAGTGAGGCCCCGAGAAGCGAAGGCTTCCGAGGCGCCGTGGGAAGCGGATGGCACTTGCAGCCACACTCGGCCGTGCACTGGGTGTGGGTGGCATATACAAGTCTGGGACGCGGCACACTCCGGAAAAGAAATCCGGCGATGCCCTACTCCACACTGCTGTGAAAACGTCCCGAGCCAATACTGTGACCGGGTGGCAGATGCCTGTGAATCCCCGGACCACGGCTACGCAGCATGGCCCAGCTGCTATATCTCGTCACAATCTCGGCGTTGAGCTCACGAGAGGAGCGACGGGTTGTAGTTTGGGACGATGGCGGGCGAGAGGGAGACGAGGGGCTCGCTCAAGTTTGGGCGAAGGCAGGCGAGCCTACAGCCCGCGACACACACAGCCTAGCGGCCGAGATGCAGTCGAGGTGCGGCCGAGGTGCGGCCAAGGTGCGGCCGAGGTGCGGCCGAGGTGCGGCCGATATGTAGCCAAAGTGCAGCCGAGATGCGGCCGAGGTGCGGCCGAGGTTGCTCGAATAGTTGGCTCAGACTGACTCGTGTCGAGTGCAGGACTAGCGAGCTCGCGCTCGGGTGTGTGTGTCGGATGTGTCTCATCTTAGCGGCCGTGTGTGTCGGGTGTGTCTCATCTTGGCGGCCGAGCCAGCGAGGCCAGACGACATTGTGCAGCGCCGTGTCGATGTGCAAGAAGGCGCTCGCCGCGGGGAGCGATGAGCCGCCTCCCGGCTCGAGGCGGTCGAGCAGGTAGCTGAGTAACGCGCCCGCCTCGCGCGTCGAACCCGCTCCCGCGTCGCCTGTGAGACATTCGTGGGCGTTTGCCGTGTGGACGTGTCGTGGACGTGTCGTGGTTGTGTGACGCCATCTGACGGCATCGCTGGCTACACTTTGATGTCCGTGCGCCTTCACTCGGCATATGGGCAAGGCTCGGCAAGGTGAGTGTGGCATTTCCGATCGCCGCACCACGCGTCCTGTTGAAGGTCGGCTTGCGCTTGTTGTGTCGGTAAAAGTGGGGCATAAAGTCGAGCTGCTCGCGGAAAGCAATCTCCTCCGAGTGATGCAACGACGAGACGACGAGCTCGAGCGGCGGCGACCCGCTCGGCGAACGCTGGGCCCAGCCTGAGTGCGGTCGGTGCATGATTGATGCTGAACCGGCACCGAAAAGAATTTAAACAAGACAACTCTCTCTCACAGCAGACAGGCTCGACACAGGTGCGAACTGGCGCGTGCTAGTACTATCACCGGCACACAAAAGAATTCTCGGAGATTCGAGCGCACGACACCGGGTACGGGACTGGCACTGCAGCACCGAAAAGAATTTTACAACAAAAGCCGGTCGCACAACACGATTCACGCGACAGGCAAGGCACGGGCGACGGCAGAGCTTCCTGAGAAGCCGTCGTCCTCCGAAAAGAATTTTAACAAAGAAAAAAGTGGATAAAGCGCAGTGTTCAGAAAGTGCGTACACGTGAACACCGAAAAGTAGAGGATAGGCACAGGCATCAAACCAAACGATACATGCTAGGGTGCGTGTGAGGGTCAGAGGCGAGCGTTTGGAGCTCCTCAAGCGCCTCAGTAAAGCCGAAGCAGGAGGTGGCGTCAGCTCCTGCGCTGGGCTCCTGCGGTTCAACGCCATCCACCTCGCTTGCAGACGCGGCCTTCGAACGACCCGCGAAAGCCGCGCGCCGCCTCGAGCAGAACAGATGCCGTAACACCTAGGCGCGGGACCGTCTGTCTGTGGCGAAGTGGGCGCGCCTCCGATTTCCTCAACTCAGCCTCCCCCTCTTGCCCTCTAGCCCTACTACAAGTCCCCCGACCAGCGACCTGTCGTTGTGCTCAAGTGCTCAAGTGCAAACTCTCTCAAGTGCTCAACAAGTGGTTTGTCGCATGATTGTCGGGTGGAGGGGCAGGTAGGTTGCACTCACCTAAACTACCGCACACGTGCACTGGGCCTTGCACTTTGAATGAGAATCCGTGGGGCGCTCCTCGCTGCCCGTGGCTAGTTGCCCTTGATTGCGAGCGGCCACAGAGGTGGCGCGGCATCAGGTCCCATGAGCAGGGAGAGAGCGCAGCGAGAGCGCCGCGCATGAGGAGCGAGGGCCAAGCGCGCTCGCGAAAGTAGGCGGCGAAAGCGCGCACCAGCTGAAGTGCAAGTTTGGTGTTCACAGCAGCGGAGGCTGAGTGAAGACCGCATGCGATGTGCGCGAGGGCACACGAGAGGGACTCAGGAGAGGTATCCGTGAGTATCCTACGATAAACTAGTGAACTACCACGACATCCCAATCGTTATCGGCAGAGAATGTTTGTATCGCGCGCCTTGCGGGGGGGGCGCGGAAAAGAGGAACCTCTTAGCGCCATCGCCACGGTGCTGCATGCAGCGCCGGGCGACGACGGCTTACCGCCTCCCGGTCCCCCTCGGCACACCTCCGCTGCTCAATGTTTGACGGCTCGAACCCGTGAAGCTTCCCCGTGCGCGGGTTACCCCGCACACGGGTCAGCCTGCCAGCCACGTATCCACGCAAGCGTGGTCCGCGTGCATGGCATACAGGCGTCCGCCAGACAGCGCAGAGGCTAGGCGACCGGGGAAGGACTAGCTCAAGGGCAACACAGCGTCACCAGCCGTTGGCGCGCAGAACGAGTCTGCGGCCCCCGGTTGGGACGAGTGCGCGACGCGGACGAACCGCTCAATGTGGCCGGCAGCTCGCGCTGCCGGCGGGGTTGGTTGGGGAGAACCGGCACGGGGATGGCCGGCCTCCCCGGAGGGGTCGCCCCCTGGAGGGGCCCCAAAGGGCCCCCCGGGGGGGCGGGGGCCCCCGCCCCGAGGGGCGGGGGCGGGTCCTTCCGTGTCGCTCCCCTCGTCGGGAGTGTCCGTCGGGATGGTGTTGTCCGCCCACTCGGCAGCGTTTGAGCCTCTGTCACCTTGCCTGCCGCGAGCAGCTAGCTCGTCGACGTAGTCGTTCCATTTGTTGCCGCTGTGACCCGCCACATGCCTCCACGTCACGGTGTGTTTGGCGCGAAGGCGTCGCCAGAGGGAACGAAGGCGCTCCGCTAGCTGTCTGTTCGTTTTGGGGGTCACCCTCCCCATCATGCACGCCGCCGCGTACTCGCTGTCGGTCCGCACTACTCCGCGTGAGCCCGCTCGTTGCGGTGACGAGGACAGGAGAGCCCGGAGGAGCTCGGCTAGGGCGGTTAGTTCCGAACCTGGTTTGTGGAGCTCCCGCACCTTTCCTAGAGAGCACGGCATTCGGGGCCATGATGTCGGTTCCCCACCGGACTTTTTTTGTAGTGGAGCGAATTAAGGAACCTTTCTGCTGTAACCAACACTGACATCGCTCTCCTCTATTCAGACCAGATGGTGAGTCTTAACTGTAAATTACCGTCAAAAAGCTGTCAGAACGGCTGTCAGAACACTGTCAGAACGTTGTCAGAACGCTGTCAGAACGCTGTCAGAACGCTGTCAGAACGCTGTCAGAACGGCCAGGTCTCTGTCAGAACAGGTGCGGGAGCTCCACAAACCAGGTTTCCGCCGTGTTGTTGGTATGCCTGCGCGCGCCGAGGTAGGCTGGGTGCGCCGCCGAAGTGACAACTGGCCCGTAGCCCTCGCTCGCCAACGACGCGCCCCTATCGCCGATTGCGTCGCCCCCGATGAGTACTGTATAGGCCCACCCTGCTTTCCCTAGGTCTTCCGACCCGTCTGTGTATGCCACCCAGTCGGGCGGGCGTCGTTGCGCCTGCTCTGCCAGTTTTTTCGGTGATGGCGCTTCCAGTGCTCGAGAATCGTCAGCGACACCCGTTCTCAAACGAATGACGCGCGACGCTGTCAACGGCGCGCGCCCATGCCGCCGCACGCGCCCGAGAGGCGCTGCAGAATCTGATCGAGAGCGCCCCTCCCTCCCGGTGTGCACAGGCACGTGCGCCGTCGTCCCGCCCGGCGGCGCCAACAGCAGCAGCAGCGAGCCCTTCAGCGAGGAGGAGGCGGGCACCAGCACCTTCATGGTGGGCGTGGTCCTCTCAGTCATCGCCGACGTGATCATCGCCGTCTCGCTCAACGTGCAGAAGACGGCGCACATGCGCAACGAGGGCGCCGACGGAAAGCCCGTCAAGGGCATGCTCAAGCTGCCGCTCTGGTGGCTCGGCCTCCTGCTCAATGTCGGAGGCGAGCTGGGCAACATGCTCGCCTACGGCTTTGCGCCCGCCTCGGTCGTTGCTCCAGTCGGGTCGGTGGGCGTGGTCGCCAACGAGGTGATCGCTGTCCTCTTTCTCAAAGAGCCGTTCCGCTGGCGGGATGCCGCTGGGCTGGTCGCCATCGTCGGCGGCGTCGTGCTCATCATCGTCGCCGTGCCGGAGGATCCGGTGGACCTCAACGCCGTCGTGCTGCAGCGCGAGTACTACGCGCGCCCGGCGGCGTACGGCTACCTGATTGGGCTCTGGTGCGCCGTCGTCCTCTTCCTCGTCCACGTCGAGCCTCGGTACGCCCAAAAGAGCGTCCTGGTCTGGCTTCTCCTCTGCTCGATGATCTCCTCGACGACCGTCATCGCGGCGCGCGGCTTCTCCTCCATGCTCACGCAGGCGGTCGGCGGCGACTGCGCCGGCGCGCACTGCGTCGGCGACGAGCTCTTCCCCCCGTGCCGCCTCACCCTCGCCCACTACCTCTTTTGGGTCCTCCTCGCCATCATTGTCACCACCGCAATCTGGTCCGCCTACTTCCTCAACAGGGCGATGATGATCTTTGGCAACACCGAGGTGGTGCCCGTCTACTACTGCACCTTCACCCTCGCCTCCATCGTCGGCGGAGGGGTCTCGCGCGATTCGGCGTGTGCCGCAACACATGCCAGCCGCGCCTCCTCACACGCCTCCTCTGCGGAGTCTGCCCTCTAGGTAGTGTACCGCGAGTTCAGCGGCATGCCGTGGCAGCAGTGGCTCCAGTTCCTCGCCGGCGTGGCGCTCGCCCTCGGGGGCGTGCTCGCCATCACCTCTGGGCGAGGCAAGTCCGCGCGCGGAGGAGGCGCAGTTCTGCCAGAGCCGTCCGAGCAGGAGCAGCCGGCCGAGCTGCCGGCTCCCGAGGCGGGAGGGGGGCGTCGCGCGGAGAGGCTGGCGAGGGCGAGGGCGCACAATCAGGCGCGCCCCTGCTCCTTTCCCTCCACCGCGTGTGCACGTGGCGCGTGGAGTGAGGTGTGCTCGCCTCACCCCTCACCTTTTCCCTCGGCACAGGCGCGGCGCCCCTTCGCGCGCCTCTCGTCGGAGGAGAAGGCGGCCGAGCTGCGGCGGCAGTCTCGCGGCTCGTTCGCCGCGCCCGTCGGCGGGATCGGCTCGGCGCACTCCTCCTTCCGCCGCGACGACCGCATCCACACAGACTTGCGCGCCTTGCTTGACGAGACGGAGAGCGAGATCGCCGCGGGGGAGCACATTGCCGCCGCGTACCGCTTGCGCGACGCAGCCTCGTCCACCCCCCAACCCGTCGCGCTGGTCACGGCCGGGCTGCGCCGAG